TCGAGCTATTATTTTTATTATTATTATGCTTTATTGTGTTCGACGTACCTGTGTTCTCGAATGGTCACCTTTTCGAAGGCTTTTAAAAGTGTGTCCACTGTCTCGAATCCTTGCACACGCGCTTGATTCCGGAGCGCCTCATCAGGTATACCGTCGATAACATATTCGAGCATCTCATCGTCATCGACTGTAACTCGATTTCCCATGATAACCTTTTCGCGGCAATATTTATGAAACGTCTCGTCCTTCTTCCAGGAGCGTTCCTCAAATCTCTTCCTCATGATCACCTTGGTTTGCCGATGCTGAAACATACTCCGCAATTCATTAAGAAGCATATCAAACGGCATCCCAACATATTCCGGCTTAGAATATAGCCATTCCAAAGCTCTGCCCTTCAAGCGCATGCCGATTATTAGTCTCGCCGCATCGTCCTCCAACGGATACGTAGTCTTCAACAACCGAATTTATTTCTCCCATATATCATAATTCGCCGATTTGCCATCAAAATGGCTAAGAAAATCTGCAATAACCGTTACGTTTATTCTCGCGTGTATGGACCGAGCCCGTGTGTCGTCATCGTCGTCTATAACGCGCCGCCGAATCTCACCACCAATTGCGTTATCCCTTATTTGACTTTGACGTAATAATTCTAATTCGCGTCGTGTTAGCTCCAGTTCGCGCTCCGCTAGCTCTTTCTCTCTTCGATACAATTCGATACAATTCGATTTCTCGCAGTCGCATGTCAGAATCCTGTCGCATACTCGACGCACTCATTTGCGAAGTACCTGCATTATTACAGCGATCGTCGGACTCACCACCGCCGGCATCCCCGTCGCGCATCCACTCGCCATTCGGATCTGCTTCCATCAGACGCTTGATTAACTCTGCTTTCGTCCCCATGGAAGAATAGTCACGCTCCTCCAGCACTCTTTTCAATGCAACCAATGTAAAGTCGTTCAAGTCCTTCATACAGTCTGTTCGCCTCATAATTCTCACACTGACACTCCTCGCACGGCACACGTTACTTCGATCAGCTGTTCAGTTATTGTCACTTGGTGTCCTTATTAGTCGAAGGCACACACACATGTAAGCACGCTCTTTCTCGTGTGTTTATCTCACACTATCATCTTGCGCGGTCACGATTTGTTCGCGTGTCTTTTCTAGAATGTTCGTTAACGGCTCTCTCATATCCCGGCTGAGCCCCCAAAATTTTATGTATGTAGGATCGTGTCTTTGGAATTGTTCGTAGAATCGGAAAAATTAAAATAAAGAGCCTTGTTTTAATTTAAAAGGAGTAAAACAATAGGTTTATTATATATATGTATAATTGTATATAGAATATATGTATAATTATCTATCGCGAAACGAGAGATTTACACAAAGAATTATCGGCAGTTCAGTCGCGCTTTACCGAATAAACTATATTCGACTTCGTCTCTTAAACTCACAAACTCGTAACTCGTAGTAATATACAACTCCCGCGCCTAATTCGTCTCTCTTAATGTACTCGTGAAATTCGCAACTCATAATTCGTACTTAACTCCCGTCTCGCACGTCTAGCTTTGTCGAACAAACTCACCCGAATCTGAATATTACCGAGTTCAAAAACGATTGACGCGATCCGATCTCGCGATGAGCAGCCGCCGTCACCTCGCGACATCTCGAAACCGACTTATAATCTAACGCGGAAATGCGACCCTACAATAATAATATGTGAGGTTGACATAATTATAATTCGGTAACTTGAACAGTTATGAAATATGACAGTTCCATTAGTAAAAGTGTTTTCTCCATTCATTGAGAATAAAAGTTTTAAGTAATTTTGCGGGAAAAGTCGCGATATACAATTAAGTTTTTAAAAATAAATTTTGTAGAATCGAATGAATGGAATTTATCAGCTGATGGACATCATACAACGGTATTTAAAACATTTCGGTCAATACAGGAAAGCCATAGGAGTAATTTAAAGGAAGCCGTCGTAGTGACTTGGGCCGCATTATTTATTTCACGAGTGTGACGTTAACGACGAGATCGATTGGGAATACTATGTATCTTGCTAATATTTATTATATTATGATCTGTACGTATCTATACTGAAAAAAGTGATTTTGCAATTGTAGCAAAAATTTTCTAACTACGAAAAATTAACTGAAATAGGTAAATGACTAGCGAGCACTAGGATATCGTATATGTCCTATATCTAATCGATGTAGATGACAGGGATAGAATTTATATGTAAATCATTTGTTAAGTTCAGCACAAAAGTCTTTCTGTGACGTCCAGTCAGATATAGGGTAAGGTTGCCGATATCGCACCGGCTCCTAGATCGCACTACCTCGCCTAAAAAATCAGTTATTTTATTCACACACTTTCTTACGGATTATTTACAAACTACAAGGTATTTCAACGCTGCTGCGTTACATTTGTGACATGAAATGCAGTAGGAGCCTCGTTATTTATGTAAATAAAAAAATCGTGATAGCGTTGCTGTTTTTCAACATATTTCATAGCAGAAATATAAAAAATGTAAGTTAAATAATCTACTTTTCTACAATTTGTCGTGTTTGGAACACTATTAGAATTAGATTAATTGAATTAAAATTTTTTTAACAATCTTGTTTGTAAATTAAATAAATAAAGTTTTACAAAATGCTACTGTTTCCTAAATCGCACCACAATGTAGTGGCCTAAATCGCATCGTGCATATGGCAACACGGGACGTACACTTCCACAATGCATGTCGGTGCGACATAACCATAACCTCTACAATAAGCATGTACGTTTGGCGGACCAAAGATCTTTGAAATCATTTCTTTCAGGTGAGTGAGGTTCACAGATAATTTCTACATATATTTTACTTATATTTTTTACACTTTATTTCTTTTTTTATTATGTAAAAATATATATTATAAATGTATATTGTAATAGAAGTGCGATTTCAACAACCTATGGTGCGATTTAGGCAACGTATTTCCAAAATCGCACTATTTACAAGTATGTAAAAAATCTTCATTTAAAATATTATAATAATAGAAAAAAAACCTGTCACATCTCTTATAAAAATAACCATGATAGACAGAAAAGTTTAGCGACGGGAGTTAAATAAATATATAGATCTTACACCTAGTGCTGTTTTCGTAATCCGCTTAATCTTACTAGCTGTGTATCAAATATTTTGTAACGTTCAACTGTCTTTGCAAGTTTATACCGGCATGGCGCGCGCCGCGCGACGTAGTAGCGCAACGCTCAGTCTATGCTGAAACAAGAAAACAGCGGCTTAATACATAGAAAAGTGTGTGAAACGAGAGTTAAAGTGAAAACATTATATGACTTTATAGAAGATTTGTTAAGAATATGGAATGTGCAAGTGAAAATTTTACGTCTTTAGAAGATTTGTTGAGATTATGGGATCTCGAGCAATATATCTCGGCGTTTAAAAGTAAGTAAAAGACAAACTATTGTTAACTAACAGTCTGTTTTGACCGCGTTCTGATATACCCTGCTAGTATTGTAGTATGTGTAACGTAAACTATAACCTTTCGGTACTGGCAGTGTACATCCGAATGCGGTCTTTGTACATCACGAAAACACCTTCAAGCGTTTTTAGTGAAGGTCAAACGATATTAGCTTTCGTGCACATTTTTAAGCCCATTCTACAATTGCGTAAGTGTAGTTGTAAATAGTTGTAGTTGTAAGAATTGATTAATCACTGTCGAATACGAGAAAAATGTTCAACTGTGATTGGTCAATTCTTACAACTACAATCACTTACAACTACGCTTACGTAATTGTAGAATAGGCTTAACCTGGATGGAAAGTATATGTTACGCCGTTGTTTTTACCGTTACTTTATACAGTGACGGCCGCAGCACAGACTTTTGCATAACGCACAATCCATAGTGCATAAGAGAATCAGCCAATCAAAATACTTCCCTTCTGTGAAGTGAGAGGAAAGGAAGGATTCTGATTTGTTGATTCGTTTATGCATTACGCGTTATGCGTTATGCAAAAGTCTGTGCTGCGGCCTTGACGATTTGGTAACGATGTTTCAATTTTTTTATAACGGTAACGATAATTAACTAAACGCTAAGGTTAGGAAAATCACTTTGGAAAAGTAACTCGTTAGCATTACGTGCTATTTATTGTAACACGTTACAAGCTACGAATTACTTTTTTTCAATAAATAATGTAATAATGATGAATACCTTTTTAAAGTGACTTTTCCAATCCTAGCATTTAGGTTATCATTACCGTCATAAAAATTGTAACGTTACCAAATTGCATTGAAAGATCCATGCAATGAATTTTAGAGTTAACGTTTCTAAGACGTTATTTTTTAATAATGATATAATTTATTAAGAAAGTATCCTTATATACATAAGCTTGAAAAAATTGTCTAATATTCTAGGTAATTGTATAGAGACTAATGATCTTCAGACTCTATTCGAACCTGAATGGAAAGATACATTACAATCTCTTATTCCAGTTGCTGGTCATAGAATAATGTTATCAAGAATGTGAAACAATTCATTGAAGCAGCCAAAAGTGATTCAAATGAGGTAATTAATATTTACAATATGTTAAATTAACACATATTTATTCACTTACCTTAGAATTTATGTTTTAAAACATATAATTTGTATGTCATTTCTTCACTTACTCATAAATTATCATATTTTAACACTAAGAAATGTTGAACATCAATTTAACAAAATAACAATCACATTATGTTATTAATTATACTTGAATAGTTAAAAAATTCAACATAAAATTTTAACAAAGACTTGAGTGGACGTTTTTAATACAAATACGAAATTTTCTTCACTGTATACGTTGTAACATTTTATATTTCATATCAAAAATACTGTTTTAACTATGTATTTGTTACCATCAAAAAGATATAACATATTTTCTCATTGTCAGTATTAAAATTCTTTCACGTATTCCTTTACTTTCAAATTTTTATGTCTTTTTTGTTTTCAGAATAATACTAAGATAATACATAGGAATGTTAGGGATGAGATTACTACTTCTTTTTCACCTAAACTGGTAAAAATCTGACATATATCTGAAAAATTTATTTAATAAATTTACATAAGTTTGCCTATTTCTAAACATTCAATTTATACAGAATACTAGTGATTTGTCATTGCCGGAAAATCTTCCAAAACCACAAAAAATCTTAAAAAATACTTCAAGAAAAAAAAGTATAGATAGCAATGAGTCCAATGATACTTTGTCTAGTAAAAGAAGTGTAGAGAGCAATGAGTCTAATGCGATATTTGGTGAAGTAAGTCATTAATCTCATGAATCTCAATTGTATTTTACACTGTACATTTTTATAAACACGATTGGTTTATTTTTTGAAAACTTTATCCTTTTTTTGCAGCAACTTCGACTTCTTTTGTCTAAATCAGGTACAGGTAGATGTATATTGCAACTGGCAAAGCAAAGATCTTATTTAAAGCATGATAAAGACAGAAACAAATTGACAGACATCATTATTGAAAATAAATTGAGCAAATCTGAAAAGTAAATGTATTTGTTATATATATTTCATATTTTTTACTTATACAATTAGTTTAGTATTTCTTTAATTATTTGAAATTAGATCTATTTTTAAAAATATTATTTCTTTATCTGTGTAGGATTTCAAATGCATATTTTATTGAACTTGTACGAGCCATACAATATATATTTCCTGAAGAAGATAGTGTAAGACTAAATTTTTAGCAGGTTTTTATTGCTAATGTGTAAGCTTATGTGAATTTTGCATAAACGCTGATTTTTTAGCAGGAAATATATTTTATTCCATATAAAAACTGTGATGGAAGGAAACTTTTGGCCAAAGGGAAATTAATATCAAAGTACTACTCTATTCGAAAGGAATTCAAAGCCCTTGGTGTTATTCAAACAAAAATTCAATCTGAATCTGATGATTCTGGAGATGATTCTAAATGTTAGTTGCTTCTATTTGCATTTCCTTCTTTTGGTGTGGATATTCACGAAATGAGCATAAACGTTCTAACTTTTGTTTCTATTTTTGTAATTTATTTAACAATTCTATTTTTTTTCAGTCTAATTTTGTGATTTATTTTATGTTTTCTTTTATTATCAGTAAATGAAAATCTACAGGCTAAACTTAAGTTTCTTGAAGAAAATATAGAGCCCTGGCCCACAGTAGTAGAGTATTGGACTGACACTTCTAAACACAGAATTACAGAATTGCATGAAAAATCTCGAGTTGTGAACAGAAATAAAGGAAGTAATAAAGGAAAAGCCAGTGTTAAAGGAAAGTTCAAAAGCGTAATTCCAGAAAAAATACAAACAAGATAAGAAAAAAAAGAATTGGAAAATGTTTCTACTTACATGAATAAATATGAAGCTCTTAGACAAAAAATGGATACATTTTGGTTAATATTATGAATATTATCTATTACTCTAGATTTTATCATGAAAATTGGTATTTCCATATAGACATAACATTTTTTTTATATTTTAGTTTCAAATAGATTTTGATTTGTCATATCCTGAACAAAAACTTAAAGCCTATAGTTGTTTTGGGAATTTTTGTGATCATATTGTACAAGCTCTCAACGATGAAGAAAGTAAATGTGAGGCTTTGAAAGATAATTTGCTTTTATTGGAAGATGAGATTTCAGAAGATAATATTGGAAAAATATCTTTACTTCTAAAAAAAACACATTATGTTGAGCAAGTTGAGATTGTTTATTATATTATCAATAATTACATTTTTCTTACATTTCAATAGAAACCAAGAATTTGGTGGTATTATTATCATTATGCTATTTAGATACTGTTGTAACCGTTGTCCGCCAACCTGCCAATAACAAGACGTAGAGACCACCTCTTACAGAAATTCAGGAAGGAGTAATTTCACATGTTACGATGAGTGTTTATATTATAAAAGATATATTATGCTCTCATTAATGTTTTGTACGTTTCATCAAAATGTATTTGTAGAAGTCAATTTTATTTTATTGAATTTTAATTATTTAATTATTTGTTGATTTTATTTCTGTAGTGTATGATTTTATTTCTATTTTGTTTGTAGAATGTTGCAAAACTTCAATCGTTTGTGGAAGAAAGACCAAAAAAATTGACTAATTGGGGCCTTACTGTGCAACCGTATGTTCTTGCCTGTGGATCATCTGTGGAAGATATAGATGCATATTACGTAATTGTAGATACGGAGACCAAATTTATTACTCACAAGTAAACCTTAAGAAATGTCAGACGCCGATTTTTCTCAAAATTTTTACAGATGTTTTTTATGACAAAATAATAAGAAATCTGTCATTAATTTTAGCCCAAATTGCGTGTGTCTGTTAAAAAAAATTTTTTGTTATTCTTTACAATTACTCGATTTTTATATGTTTAAAGCAATATTTCTGACAAATGAATTTGTACCCGATTTTTTGAAGCTCGATACGCATATAGAACACCAAAATAATAACAATAATTATTAATAGTAAAGAAACGATATCTCTTGAAAAAACTTTTTACAGAAATAGAGCTGGGTGCTCATCTGGATTAACCTCACGGTATCCTAATTCAAAAATTCACTAACTAAATCGCTATTACGCAACAAAAAAAAATCTAGTTTACCCCTTTATTTTATTATTTTCTTGATTTTCTTTATTTTTTATATATTATTATAATTCTACGTATTATAATATTATATATATTATTATATATAATATCCTTGTTTTTTTTAATATTTTGTGAACCTCTTTTATATATTTGTATATATTTTTTATATTTTTGATCATTTTTTTTTATAAACGCACGAATGTTTAAGAAAATGTATTAACTTCGTATTTGCGAAAATATGTCGAATAACATATTATTGAACAATTGTTTGACAATATATTATTCGACATATTTTCGCAAATACGAAGTTAATACATTTTCTTAAACATTCGTGCGTTTATAAAAAAAAATGACCAAAAATATAAAAAATATATACAAATATATAAAAGAGGTTCACAAAATATTAAAAAAAACAAGGATATTATATATAATAATATATATAATATTATAATACGTAGAATTACAATAATATATAAAAAATAAAGAAAATCAAGAAAATAATAAATAAGTAAAGGGGCAAACTAGATTATTTTTTTTGTTGCGTAATAGCGATTTAGTTAGTGATTTTTTGAATTAGGATACCGTGAAGTTAATCCAGATGAGCACCCAGCTCTATTTCTGTAAAAAGTTTTTTCAAGAGAAATTGTTTCTTTACTATTAATAATTATTGTTATTATTTTAGTGTTCTATATGCGTATCGAGCTTCAAAAAATCGGGTTCATTTGTTAGAAATATTGCTTTAAACATATAAAAATTGAGTAATTGTAAAAAATAACAAAAAATTTTTTTTTAACAGACGCACGCATTTGGGCTAAAATTAATTACAGATTTCTTGTTATTTTGTCATAAGAAACAACTGTAAAAATTTTGAGAAAAATCGGCGTCTGACATTTCTTAAGGTTTACTTGTCAGTCTTCAGTAAGAGTTTTGAATCTATGTTTTAAAGTTATTCATGCAGCTCATCTTGAATACTCTGCAGAGAGTTATCGCTTATGGAGACTTATTCAGAAAGAACTGTATGAGCTAACAACTGTATTTGACGAGTGGAAATGTGATGCTCAGCTTCCAAAATTATTTCAGAAATTGTCTCGTAAATAGGGTATACTATTTTATTATCGAATTTTGAGTGCTCTATTTTTTGTTTTCATTGAAACATGTCAGCATTTTTAAGTTTTTCTTTTTTTTTTACACTAAAATACTTATACTAAAATATTCTCGTACTTATTTATATACTATCATACTCTGTATAAGAGTATTCTAATTTTAAGACAAAAGTTTACTTCTACTTAGACTTCGTATTGCTATCAATCTAATTGAATTCTTTAAAAGTTACTTAAAAAAAAAATATATATATATCTAGTATTGTGATTAATGTAGTAGATTATCTGAAAAAAATTTATGTTTTATTATTATAAAGTATTGAATTATATAATCAATCAAAATGCCGTCCTGTTTCATATGTGGAATTGAATTATATACCATTAATCAATTACATAGGCATTTCAAACTTATTCATAAGCTCGATGATAATCATAACGTCTTCAAATGTGCTGAAGTTGCATGTTATCAACAATGTTCTAATTGGACTGTTTTTAGACGTTATTTAAATAAGTTCCACATTTTCGCTACTCAGAATTCTTCTGTCCCTCTTGAAGTTATTTCGTCATCTTTCCCTTTATCAAATGATGAAAGTGTTCATAAAATACCATTTAATTATTCTAATGTTCCATTTTATGATAATTCGTATGTTAGTAACGAGTTCAATAAAGATGAAAATTTTTCTTTGTCTACGCACGATTTCCATAGTAAATTCCCAATTAATCAATTTTTTTTTAAAGATGTAATCAGAACTCATGTTTCCACGCTAATAGGTAAACTCAACAGTCAACCTAGTTCCCGTAAAATGGTTCAAAATTATATAGAGGATACCACGGATTTTTTATGTACTGTTGTGTCACTGCTATGTACTGATATCACAACTATACTTCATGACCAGAATGTTAACTCAAACATTGTTGATAAAATTTGTTCTAAGCTCGGAGTATTAAAAAATCCATTTGAAGGTTTACATTCAGAGTACCTACGGTTAAAATTTTTGAAAAAATTAGGATTTTATACTGCACCCAAAGAGTATATAATTGCTTCTGATATGTTTACCAAAAAAGTGAATGGCAAGGTACTTATTAACACTGACAATGTTAAAGGGCAATATATACCTTTAAGAAAGTTTCTGAAAATATTTTTAGAACTACCAAATGTATTGAATGTGATCATGAATGCTCTACGAAAATCTTCGTGTGAAGATTTATTACTGACTATATTTATGGATCTCACTGGCAGAAGAAAAAGATTTTATTTGACGAAAAGCTTGTGATTCCCCTGTTTATATTTTATGATGATTTTGAAGTCGATAAAGAAATTAGTCCTCATAGTGCCAAACTTGGTGCTGTCTATATAAAAATAGCATGTCTTCCTTCGGAATTTCAGGGCTCTTTAAATAATATATTTTTAGCTTTACTTTTTACACAGCTGATCGTATTAATTATGGAAATAAACGAATATTCAACATCTTAATTACAGAATTAAATTTCCTACTTGACAATTGAAATTACTGTTAATGATGTTGTGCACACAGTCTATTTTGCTGTAGCTCTTTTTATTGCTGATAATTTCGCTGTCCATTCAATTCTTGGTTTTGCAGAGGGCTTTAGTGCTAATTTTCCATGCCGTTTTTGTCGTGCTCACAAATCTGTAATTCATACCCAAACAGAGGAGGATTCAAGTTTATTTAGAGAAAAAAAACAACATATTATAGACTGTAAAACTGACAATGTTTCTTTAACCGGAGTTAATGGAGAG